TTAAACAAAGCAATTGCTCCATCAATGTTTTTTTTTGCTATCATACACTATGGTAGTAGCAAAGGTGTGCCTTTAGCCCCAATATCCTTACCTTATATCCTTTAGTGAGTAAAATGTAAGTCTGTGATTGTTGAAATAATGACTAAGTGTCTCTTTACCTGGTAATATGGGTCAGTAGTACATTGAAAGAATGCTTTCCATCAACGTCATTGTCTGTGTTCCTGGATCTCTGTGCTTTAGTTTTACTCCTCTGTGCTAAAGTCTTTCTCAGTCTCTCTTCCAGTCCATTTGTTCTAAAATGTCTGTCTTCCTGCATCTCAGTGCTGAAGTGTCTGTTGCCCGGTATTTGTGTGTTATCTGTGCTTTTTGTTTGGCTGAGGCAGTAGGCAGTGCCACCTCATTCCTGGCACAGCATGGCTCTGGGGCTTTTGTGTCCGTCTGCCTCAGTTTACTGATAACATAGTTTGATGGACGACTCTCTGTGTTGCTATTGTTGATCTGTTTGTAGTGATGTGTGTGTGTGTGTGTGTGTGTGTGTGTGTGTGTGTGAGTGTGTGTGTGTGTGTGAGTGTGTGTGTGTGTGTGAGTGTGTGTGTGTGTGTGAGTGTGTGTGTGTGTGTGAGTGTGTGTGTGTGTGTGAGTGTGTGTGTGTGTGTGTGTGTGTGTGTGTGTGCGTGCATGTGCGGTTTACAGACTTCCAGCACAAGTCTCTCAGTCTGGATGCTACGTCTCACTTATCATGTGACTGGCAGTTTATAGCTTAATCAATACATTGATTAAGTGTGTCAGTGTTTAGTCTGGATTACTGAGACATATGTGATACATAGGTTACTGAGGTTGCTTTTATTTGAACTATTATTACAATTTTATTAAATTTTACATTTTAATTATATTTCAGAATTTTACTGTTTTGTTTATATTACTGTTTGCAGCCTTGGTGCACTTAAGGGTCTTCTTTCAAAAAAAGAGTCCAAATGTTTCAATGGTTATGTGTGTACTAGATAATGTATATATGCACAGTAATGTGTATATATATATATGATGTAATATACAATAAATATAATATAAATGTGTTGATTTACAAATGTACAGATCCTAAGGATCTAATGACATAACATCTCTTCATGCTTCAGGGTAAACAAGCTATAATCAGCACTGTATAGCGTTGCATGTGCAAATATGCAGTTTGTTATTTGACACGTTCGCTTTGACATGTTAAATTACGGCTGTCAGCAGTATTTCTGCCTGAGCGTGTGGTTTCTCAAGCATTTCTCATTTATGTGGAGCTGCATTTCCCAGAGTTAATGACAACAGCAGTTTGATAATCAGTTTGGTTGTTGAGCTACGATGCTCGTCCATGTCCTGGACTCTTCTGGAAGGCTCCAGAGCCGACTCATTCTTATCAGCGGAACCAAACTGCCCATTTACTCCCCTCAGAGCTGTGTGGACAAGACACTTAAATAATAACAGTCTCCAAGCTCATGGTAGATGGAGAGAGGTATATGGAGTGTGAAAGAGAGAGTAAATTAAAGTAGAATGGACATTTTATGAGAAAGTGAGGTTAGAGACAGTGAGAGAGTGTTTATTGAGCTTCACTGTTTTAAGTACGTGGTGTTCTGCTCTGTTCCGACCCCAGACTCAGAAGTACTTCTTCAAATACAGGCATATTTGGCCATGTTGCCTTTAATACAGTTTTCATTTATTTAATTTAATTTGTTCCAAGAGTGCATATCCATACAGAATTTTTGTAATTTTTAGCCAACATATATCATGTGCACCACATGTGAAATTGTTTAATAGAATAATTATGAGGTGGAAATGACATTTTATACATTTTTGGACTGACTGATTCTTTTGTCTTGCCAAGGCTAATTTAATTTCCAACATTCTGTGTATCCTAAACATACACAATGACATATATTTTCATGCTTTTTGCATAATTGGACTAAATTACAGCTTGACTGAAAATGACACACAATAAAACATTGTTCACAGATGATATTTGCCTTGAATTTTCATTCCTTCATTGCTAATGTTCAAAACATTGGGGTCGGTAAAATGTTTTAATGTTTTTGAAAGCCTCTTATGCTCACCAAGGCTTCATTATTTGATTATAAATACACTAAAACAGTACTATTGTGAAATATTACAATTTAAAATAACTATTTTCTGTTTATATATGTATGTATGTATGTATGTATGTATGTATGTCATATATTTTAATTCCTATGATGACAAAGCTCATCATTCAGTATCACATGATCCTTCAGAAATCACTATTATTATTCAGAATTTCTGGTTATTAATGTTAAAAAACAGTTGTGACGCATATTAGTGGTGACTGTGGTGCAAATGCACAAGTTGTAATTTGTGTTCAATCAAAATAATGACTTTTTGTATTTTGAGTTTAAAAGGCACTTAAAAAGTAATAAATGACAATTAGTTTCTCATGACAGATTAATATGATGTAACAAAAAGGTTGCAGTCTCTTAATTTTAATAAATGAACGTATGAAGTGTACAAGTACTGTAAGTTAGAATTTTAGTCTGTTATGGCTCGTTTCCAACGAGTGGTACGTTTCAGCACCATACGCAATTATGTCCGTTTCCAGAACTGTCAGAAGTTGTGAATGGTACCAAAATAGCGAACCGTACCATACCACTTTTTTGGTACCCTTCTGTTGGGTTACCTAGCACAGCAAAGGGTACCAAAAGGGTGGCGCTAAACTCACTGCAGAACGTTGATTGGTTGACTGGTTGACCAAAATTATTCTCGTAGCTTCGTAAAATTACATTTGAACCACTGATGTCACATGGATGATTTTACTGATGTCCTTGCTACGTTTTTGGACTTGGGAACATTTGAGTTATGTTGCTGTCTATGCAGGGTCAGACAGCTCTCAGATTCCATCAAAAATATCTTAATTTGTGTTCCGAAGATGAACGAAGGTCTTACGGGTTTGGAACGACTTGAGGGTGAGTAATTAATGACAGAATTGTCATTTTTGGGTGAACTATCCCTTTAAACTTATATATACAGTGGGGGAAAAAAGTATTTAGTCAGCCACCAATTGTGCAAGTTCTCCCACTTAAAAAGATGAGAGAGGCCTGTGGTGGCTGACTAAATACTTTTTTGCCCCACTGTATATATATATATTAATTAATTTATTTATTTTGAACTTTACCATAGTACAGCGCTGACTTTGTAGGATACAAAGTTAAGAAGAATGGCGCCTACGCTGATGGCTGCCTCCGTGGCGTGCTCCGCAGTTGTTTTTATGTTTTTGTTAGTTTGTCCTGTCTTTAGTTATATCCCTGCAATCAGTTTCACCAGAGACGAATTGCTGGACATTCGGAAGTATACACCACCCGATATTTCACCGGTTTTTGACTATTGGGATGTTTTGCTGGACATTGTTGTCGGGGGAGCTGTGGCGCTGATTAAGCGCTTCAGGACGCGCAGAAAAGGAGATCAGAGTGGCAAAGAGGAATTATTCTGAAAAACTAAATATTAAATTCTCTTCCAGTGACTCGGCATCAGTGTAGAAAAGTCTAAAAGAAATCACCAACTACAAGACACCATCCCCCAGCTAGTAGTAAAGAGGGAGAGGTGATTGGTTCGCTTCCCAATTGAGCTGAGGGACTTACAGCTAACTTTTTTATTTATTATTTTAATTTCAATTTAATGTTACTGTTTCAGTCAATGATTTCAGAACTATTTTGTCCGAAACCGAAAACTTATTTTTGAATGATTTTTTTTGGGGGGGCTGCCAAAATTTTGGTGCATCTTTATAATGCAATATGTTAAAGATGTTTTAAGGACAATGGGCTGGGTGTCAGTGAACTAGCTGTTAGCTGTTCTCAAGTCAGACACAAATGGAGTTTGACTCCATTTATATATAGCCGTACAATATAGTGCCCATTCCCAGTGGCCTGCTTTATTATTAATATGGATTTTGCAGAGAGAGAGAAAGATAGATCGAGAGAGAGACATTAACTGAGATCCACATCACACACACACACCTGTCACACACAGCGACTTACATATACATCAACCTACACACAGGCTTTTAGACAAACACACAGAATCATGTCACTAAAATATTTAATAACAGTCAGACGTCTGCTTGGAGAACATAAATGACTGAGCCAGGCTAAAGTGCTATCCAGTCTAGAGATCTTTGGCGTAAGTCTTTTATTTTATATTAGTAAGACTCCCAAACAGGACCTTGAGAGCACATTCATCCTTCCACGACTTAAATTAAACTGATCATATTTAATTTTCTTTAATTTTATGTTGATCTCCCCATCCTAGAACATTTATTGAAACAACCATGAGTTTATTAATATGTGACTGCCCACATTTACGTATCAGCTCCTGTTTCCAGTATTCAGCAACTTGCCTGCGTAATCATAAGGGTCAGAGAGAAGGTAAAAAAAAAACTCATGAGAAGCTAAATTATGACCTTTTTTTCTAATCTGGCATCTGCTGCTGTTCTTTGCTACGCTGAATTTTGAATTAGTCTGAGAGTCAATATTTACAAGCATATTACATCATGCTGTCCTATTTGTTTTTAAAGCAGAAATATAGTGGAAAATATTTGGTGTCTTAATTGAACTTTTAAACTCTTAAGGCTGCAAAACTGATGTTGACTTTGCAACAGCCACAGTCACAAAAACATCTATATTTCAGTTTCAGGTGTGATTTCCCAGAGGAAGGTTTTATCTTTTACATATTACTTTTTCGTGGCTCAGTAGACCTGAAGGTCTCTTGGAGGTTATGTGTCATTTAATTATTAACTTTGACTCAGATGTTCCTTTTTAAATCCTCAGAACAAAGAACAAATAAACATGATACAATATCCATGTATCTATCTGCCTATCTGTCTATCTATCTTTAAGCTTAACCATTTCAGACTAGGGTTTCTCAAGCCAACATCAATGTTTATCTGCAGTCTTTGCTATCTAGTCATATGTGAATGTTGATATCCCCTGTCTTAGGTGCAGCAGTGGCAGGTGTGTACCGTGTGGCAGGGAAGGACATGGCTCCTCTTGAAGCTCTGGTGTTTGGGGTGGGCCAGACCACTTTCACCGTCATCATCTCATTCTCACGGATCTTGGCCACTCTTTAAATGGACTGAAAGCATCATTGACTGACACACCCAACAGCCAATCGGCCGGCAGAAGAGCCGGGGTCGAGGTGAGTGGGGTTTAACCACAGAGGTTTGGCCTGCGGTACAAAACGATGAGCTTTAGGAGTCACTAATGGCCAATGGACCACTATATGAAACCCTCTGGAATGGCAGTCTTGGAGATTTGAACATTTCAAGAAGCAAAAACAGCATTATAGGCCAATGACTCAATCAACATGCCAACTGCCTCGGTGGAGGATTGAGATGAATCTTCGGATGTCTGTTTGTCTTTGTTAAACATTTGTTTTGTTTTTGCACATGGATCGCTTCAGCTTTATGGAAACTGGGTGGTTTTGGAGCCGTAGCTGGGCTGTAACGCCAAGATGGATGCATCGAAAACATCCTCCAATAATTTGACTGTCAATATGTCTGTCTGTCCTCAAACATTTTCTAATTCTACTCTGCTGAATGGCCTGAAACATTCCTGTTTGTATTATTATAGATTTTCCCTCTGGTCCAGCAGTATTACCACATCCAGTTTTCTTCTTCCACTTTGCACTTTCTGCATTTTGAAAACTGTCTAAAAGGTGTAAGATCTGTAGAAGGTATGCTGGGATGCAGTATGGACATTAATTCAAAGAAGGTTTAGGTGTAATCTGGTCTCTTTTAACCAATATAAATGTATCCATAATGGAAAAATGCCTTATAATATGGTAACACATAATGGAACATTAATATGAATTGTAACTGTGGTATTTAATCAGATGTCAGTTTTAAAGCAAAGATGACAAGTATTCAAAAAGTCACTATGGCCTACAACGTCTTGTTCTGTGTCAAGATGTGATGTAATCCACCAACTGCGATTATATCATGGAAACATTCAAATCTGATCTTGTCCTTGTACACAGTATTTAACGTCTTCATTTATAATCCATTTTTATCCAGCATTACTGTGGCAATACTCTCCCTGCTCAAATATGGGGACTTAAACCTCAGGCCTTAAAAGACAAGAGAGACAATTTTGTCCTGGACTCGTCCTAACCAGTTTGAGAGGCTGGCGTACGACTATGTGAGTAAATCAAGGGGTGATTTTCTCCTTTGGCATCACAAGTTCAACCTGAAAAATGTATTGTACTTGAAAGCTCTTGTGTGGAAGTGCGCACTGATGCCATAATGAAAACGGTCACTCGTGGGTCTTTGCCAACAGATGTGTGAAATTGCACTGGTAATTATTTGCCTTCTGTAAGTTTCCCTTTTCCTAAAAGGACTTCACCAAAACAGTATGAATTACAGTTCTGTAAGGAACAGGAGCAAGTGTCCTGGTGTTAAAATATTATGTAAATAGTTCATCCAGAAATTTAAATTTGCTGAAACTTAGTGTCAGGCCATCCAAGATGTAGATGAGTTTGTTTCTTCAGATTTAGAGAAGTGTAGCATTACATCATTTGCTCACCAATGGATCTTTGGCAGTGAATGGGTGCTGTCAGAATGAGAGCTGACAAAAACATCACAATAATCCACAAGTAATCCACACAAATCCAGTCCATCGATTAACATCTTATGAAGTAAAAAGCTGTGTGTTTATAAAAAACAAATCCATCATGAAGACATTTTTAATGTCAAATTATTGCTTGTGGTTAAAATATGAGTTCTCTATTCATAATATTGCTTTCTTCATTGAAAAAGTCATCTTGTCTGAATCAGGAGAGAAATGTGTGCAGATCAAGCACTGTTTACAAGCAAAAACAGTCCATAAATATGTGAGTGGATTTTGATGTGAGAGATGACAGGGGGTGGACATTTTCACTGGAGAAAGCGTTATATATTATGGACCCAGAAAACTGCAGTTTAAAGTTAAAACACCTTAATGCTGGATTTGTTTCACACAAACACATAGCTTTTCAATTCATAAGATGTTAATTAAAGGTGACTTATCATGAAAATCTGACTTTTCCAAGATTTAAGTGCTATAATCAGGTCCCAGGTGCATCTACCAACCAAGGAAACGTGAAAAAGATTAACCCAGTAACTTTGTTTTGGTAAACCTTTCTCTGCAAGTGTCTGAAAAAACGAGCGTGTCAGATTTCGCTCCCCTAGTGACGTTGGAAAGGGATCTCATTATAAAATTACCGCCCCTTAATCTGTAAGTTTCTACCCACGGCACCGTAATTTTGATTTCGCAAGCGACAACGGTGTACCAGTTCTAATGCCATGATGAAAGTTTAAGCAAAACATGCCAACTGTTCTGCCTTTGGCTGCACAGACGAGCACAGAACACTGTTTAGAGTCCCAGCCTCAGAGGAGACAAGACAGCAGTGGATTTATTGATTTATTTACTGTATATTGCTGCTGCCACACAGATCTAAAATAAACAGAAAAAGATTAACCCAGTATCTTTGTTTTGGTAAACCTTTCTCTGCAAGTGTCTGAAAAAACGAGCGTGTCAGATTTCGCTCCCCTAGTGACATTGGAAAGGGATCTCATTATAAAATTACCGCCCCTTAATCTGTAAGTTTCTACCCACGGCACCGTCATTTTGATTTCGCAAGCGACAACGGTGTACCAGCTCTAATGCCATGATGAAAGTTTAAGCAAAACATGCCAACTGTTCTGCCTTTGGCTGCACAGACGAGCACAGAACACTGTTTAGAGCCCAAGTCCCAGCCTCAGAGGAGACAAGAGAGCAGTGGATTTATTGATTTATTTATTGTATATTGCTGCTGCCACACAGATCTAAAATAAACATATGATTTATTTCCCAGCTGTTTACCGTCACAGACATAACCGACTGTTTTTGTAACTCATGTGTGTTACGTAAGTGTAATGTAAACTTGTGTGTAATGTAAACTTGTGTGTGAAAGAGAACTTAGTTTAGTACTCACATGCTGTTACAGCCGCTTTCTGTCCGTGTGCTTCGGATGTGTGCACTCAGAAAACCGACGTAAGTGTAACGTAAACTTGTGTGTAATGTAAACTTGTGTGTGAATGAGAACTTAGTTTAGTACTCACATGCTGTTACAGCCGCTTTCTGTCCGTGTGCTTCGGATGTGTGCACTCAGAAAACCGTATATCAGAAGTTTAAACTAATATGGTTTAAAACGCATGATTTCAGCACGATAAACATGATAATCAGAACCAAAGCCAAAATGTTTTAGGAGGTCCGAGCTGTAATAGCGCAGCTCAAAAGCTGGTGAAGGGGGCGGGGAGCAGCAGCTCATTCATGTTTCTGCTCAGTGGAAGCAGAAACAGCATGTTTCTGCTTCCACTGAGCTGAAACTTCACAAACACATTCTGGGGACATCAGAGACTTATATTACATATTGTAAAAAGGGGCATAATATGTCTCCTTTAAAGTTATGTGGAATTACTTGTGAATTATTATGATGTTTTTACACCCGTTTACAACAGAGGATCCATTGGTAAGCAAGTGATGTAATGCTATATTTCTCCTGCTAAATCTGTAATGATGAAGAAACAAACTCATCTACATCTTGGATGGACTAAAGGTGTGTACATTTTCATTTTGGTGGGAACAATTCCTTAAACTGGAAAATGTTTTGAACGGTGAACAGTGTGGAATGTGATGACAGCGGTGTGATTTACGATACCTCACTGCTGCCACTAGCTTTATTACTGGCAAAACTTTCCTTGTTTTTCCGTTTCCTTCTTATAAACACCATTCATTTGAATGATAATAATAACCTAATAGTTCAAGACCATTCAAATTCGATTTACATTCCAATTTCGATTCATTGAAAATTCGAATTTTCAATGAATTCCAATTTAAATTTTTTTCTTTCTTTCTTTTTTAAATATATTTATTTGGTAGCACTTTCTATGAAGCTTTATATATATAATGCATCATGAAGGTATTCATAAATATGCAGAATACTCAGTTACCAAGGCAAGAATCACTGTTATTATTGGTATAAATAAATATGGTTAGGGATTTGAACAAACTAGTATTAAATTGTGAACTTGAACCTTTTTTTATCTAGTGTGGGTGCAAAAATATCTGTAGCACTGAATTTTTGTTAAAAAGCTTCATAATAAAACTTTAAAATAATAATTCATTTAATGATAGTTCAGTTTTTCACTGATGCTGCTTTATGTTTAAAACTATAACCATAAATAGGAGAATTGTATTAAAATGATTTAGGAATCAATTACAGCTGCAAAAATTATAATACCCTTAAAATGCATTATATATAGGCTTCGCTTTTCAAACAAAAACAAACTCAGTTGCATTTAATTATTATTTCGAAGTATTGTTTACTTTTTTCAGAGCACGTGAGCCATTTCTAAAACTCAAAACGGGCGTTTCAGTGTTTCGTCTTTTAATAGCCATCCAATCTCTTTAAGACTGATGCCAAATTCCTCCTGTTCATTACTGTATTACAAAAGAGCATATTCCTAGTTCTTGTTTGTCTATCAACAGTTCATTCATGTATGGCTGTTGTGTCAAAGTGAATAATGTCTGATTGTTGGTTTAAAACACTGCATTGCATGAAACAAGTGACGTCTGAAGCCACTGAAACACAGGATCATGGGAATTGATTCCTTTTGCTTTATTGTTCTGTTGTCATTGACATAATGTTTATTTAAGCCAAAGTATTCCTTATCTCTTTAGCTTTAGGACTTTTTTATTTGCATATGATTTTTATGAAAAGCAACCATTTTTTATATGATGTGTTTTTGCTCGTCAGATTTCTCAGCACTGGTTCATGAAGTCTGAACAAGGCTACTCCTGAAAAGGCTGATTTTCCATTTGTTGATACTGTGATATATACTTTCAGATGTTATTAATGTGTTAAGGTATTGATGAGGGTGTTGGATGATGAAGGTGTTGGCTTACTTATTTCCAATTTTATGCAACTAAAAGTTCACTTTCAGTACCAGACCAGCACTACAGAGGGCGTCAGTGTACTGTGAACGAGTGTGAAACCTTCTTCTGTCAAAGGAAACTGATTGTATCTGTAGAATTATGCAGGTCTATTGTGTTGATGCATAATGTATGAGGGATTCTGCCAGTCGAAAAGTAATTGCTTTTTTACTTAAACTGCTCAGAATGACATACTACCATGCTATTTATACTATTTTTGTGTAAACTGCAAAAAAACAGATTTTTTTATTTAGCATTTTTTACTTGTTTTCCAGAACAAATATCTAAATATTCTTAACTGTCAGCCGTCACCTCAGAATTTTAAAATCAGACATTGCCTTACATTGGAAATGGTACTTCAAAATCATATTAAAAATGTATTCGTTCATGAATTATAACAATTTATGTTTGGATAGTGCACTTTAATGTCTATGTTAAAAAATGGGGGTGACAGTTAAGAGGTTAGATTAATTTACATACAAGATATTAAGTCTTATTTTCTGAAAAATGTATCAAAATGAAGTGAGATTAAGCTTAAAACAAGACAAATAAATAAATAAAAATAATAAAATAAAAACTTTCAAATTCAAAGGGAAAATAAGTCAAGTTTGTTTTTCTTAGTCCATATTTGTAGTTCTAAGCATAAAAGTACTTATTTTTTATTGTATTTATTGATTATTATTATTCCAGAAAAAAATTTGCTTCTTAAGTTGATGTATCTTGATTTAAGAAAGTTTGGAAACTTTTACTAAGTAAATACTAAATACTAAGTAAGAAAATCATTTTTGCAGTAACCCTGATGATAACCACA